GGAAGGGCTGACCCCTAGGCCCAAACGATGACTGAAAAGAAACCCATAAGAAGGATCGGAAAGCTGTGAGAAGGTCGAAAAAATTTCTGTTTGAAAGAGAGCATCTTGATTGCGGGCAGATTGGGAGTGCAGGATTTGGTACATGACGGAAGATAGGAAGGGATTTGGAAAGCGTCACTTGTTAAAAATAGGAAAGGTCTTTCGGCCGGTTGCACAATACATAGTGAGGCTGGATCGGAAGCCTTCAAGGAGACTCAAAGCTCCCAAATCTCACTGTACATATCAATTGAGGAATACACACATTTGTATAGTTATAATCCCCGCCGAACCCTTCGCCAGAATGGGATTGTGTTGTGAGGAGGATCGAGATGGCAACCTACATAAAGTCCTTCTGCATTAGCACTAGCAGCTTATGTACTCAGATCAAGAGTACAATACGTGTCCTTACCTCTTGGGTTCGCCAACCTTTGCCTGTTCTGTGGTGATGATTCATTTGGCCTGCCGTCAGTATATCCAATCAGTTCATCTTGGTTTTTCTCCCAGAGAGATGTTTAGTCTCACCGGCTCCTCTTGATCTTGGCCTCATGGACTTGTTCGTTGGATGTCAGTGTTCATGAAGTTGTCTAAGATGGCTTCTTGGCTTGATGGTTCTTGTTGACCACTTGGAAAAACCCCACCAACTCTGACACCACACCCAGCACACGCATACATCCAGCTTCATGAGCCCCTGCTCAACTTGTCCATCCTCATTATAATTTCACTTCATCTCAGCTCCAACCAGATCCCGTCTCCCGAACATCAATGTTTCCTTCCAGAATACACATTGAGCTTACACATATTGACTCATAAAAGTAGCAAGAACAATTATGAACAACATTATAGCCAATCGGGTGAAGGCCAAGGGTCTGTCGGAGATGCAACCGGAAGTCGCGACCGTCGCGTGGGCGGGTGGATGTTGGACCTGCAGGCCCCAGGGTTCTGGAGGAGTGCAGGCCTGTATGAGGCTTGCCGGCCAACATTACTGGTCATAACTAGCAACCCCGCCGAATGGTCGAACCGAAGTGGAGATTGGTCAAGTGATGCCAATGGCAACAATCAATACATGCGCCACATGCGACCATCTCTTCACCAGCCTCAAGCTGATTATTGAGGGGTATTCGCCGGCCTGGCTGGCTAAATAGCAGAGCCTTCATTCCACCCGTCCTTTGTTCTACGTCACCTTCTGCCTTCAAAACCAGCCTCTTGCCTTACCATTAAACCCCTAGTAACATTACTACTCTGATTACCATTGGACTGCCCAACAGAGCATAAGATGTTCAGACAGATTTCGATCCTATTAACACTACTTCTCGCCTTGGTTGCGATGGTCAAATCGGCCGATCCCCATATAAGATCATCGAAGCGGTCATCGAAATATCCTCAACTTGCTAAAGCTGTCATCTCGACTCCCGGGATTCAAGCGACTTTCTGGTTCCAACTACGGGTCGATATCCCCAAACCCAAACCAGGCAATGCAAGACCCATTCCAGGGCTGGAGAACCATCCGACGATGTCGACTCGCGTTTGGATTCAATATTCTGGAGTGCCTGCTGGACAAGAGTTTGCCTATCACAGTAAGTACAATCAGATTCTATGCGTCAGCTCAGCTTTTGATGCCGAGACTGATTCAAAACGCGGCTCCCGATCTGCATTCCAGTCCACAACAAGGCCGTCACTAATAACGATTGCAAAAGTGCCGGAGACCACTGGAACCCAACGCAATCGAGCATGAACAATCCTAAGAGCCCCTGTGACCGCAATAAACTAGGACAATGTGAATCTGGGGTAAGCGAACTTTCATCCTTCTTTATCAAGCGTTCACATTAATCCCGCAGTCCTAATTATCGGATGACTTGTTGAACTGAACACTTTTCTCATTTTCACTCGCAGGATCTCTCGGGAAAACATGGCAAGCTCAAAAAGATCCCCGACGGCCAATTGGTTACTTACTACGATTCAAGCCTCAGATTGAGCTACTCATCCCGCGGAATTCTCGGTAAAAGTGTGGTGATTCACAACCCAGCAGGTGTTCGAATCGGTTGTGGTTAGTCTAGTCTCTTCCTCACCAGCTCTTCTTTACTATGTCCACACCTAATTTCATTGTCCCATTTTACTTAAAAAATATAGCCACGATAAAGGCCATGACTTAGATATGCACAATTCTCGCAAGGAGGCTCATGGCCTAAAGAATATCAAGCTTAAAATAGGCTGGCTGGACTTGGAGTTTCGCCTAATTTGATGTCTAAGAAGAAGAAACAGACATTTTTTCCCTATCATTTTGCTGATGATCCTACCCTAAGTATACTTGTTTCTAGATTTGAAATCCCCACGAAAAAAACACGATAAACACAAAGCGATTGCAATAGCAAAGCAAAACAAAATACAGTTGTCAAAATAGGAAATATGCCAGAGGGCCAAAAAAAAAACAAGAAATTCGTGTTATGAAGGAAAGCTCCTTTTGTAATCAATAAATAACATAAATTCATCCTTGAAAATAATCCAAGGAAAACGTTGATCAGTTCATAAGGGAACGGGACCGATCCCTGCTGATATAAAACAGATGTAAAAATGCTGTTTGCATTTTTTGTCCCTAGGAATGTGAGGATACCCATCTTTTGCATCTGCTTCCTCTTGAAGAAGAGCAAGTTTGAGCCAAAACGACAACGAAAACACTAGCACAGTCACGAAGATGAAAAAAAAAAATTCCACTGAGAGAAAAGCTCGCTTACATATTTTTCGATGGCTTGGGTCCTCATAAGCTGATGTGCTCATGGTTTTACGGCGTGTAGGTGGTTAACACCCCATGTTATATTTCTTCATCGAAGCCCGTTTCGGAACTTCCTTGCAAAGCACAACGGGCCTTCAAATGTATATTGATGTGTGTGAAAAGAATTTATTCATTTTTCTTAGATATGCAAATAAAAAGACATGCTAGAATTTATATACAATATTTTTAGTAGTCTTAACATGATTCTAAATAGACAGCGTGGATTTCTAGATGATGATACGAGCGCTTTTTTCGGAAAGCTACAGATGATGCGACTGACTGGGCACCGGGGTTATCGTCTGGAGAAGCGACGACTACCAGGACAGTGCATTTTGCAGATGAGGTTGGCCGTTGATGTGTATCCACTCTAGGCCGAGGTTCCTTCGGCCTCCGGAGCAGCTGGCTTCTTTTGTTCCTTGGGTTTGGAGTCCTTCGACGATGGGCTTGCCTTTTCCTTGGGTGCTTCCGAGGTTCCTTCGGCCTCCGGAGCAGCTGGCTTCTTTTGCTCCTTGGCTTTCGAGTCCTTCGACGCTGGGTTTGCCTTTTCCTTGGGTGCTTTGTGCTTGTGTTCTTTGGCTGGCTTGGACTCCTTGGGTTTCTTAGTCTCAGGTTCGGCGCTCGCCTTTTCGTTCTTCTCAGGACTGACCGGTGCCGCATCTTCTCGTTTCCAGACGGCATTTCCAGTCAGGTGTTCGGCTCGCTTGCTGATTCCTGAAGGCTTGGAATTTTCCTCGACCGCACCGGCATCACGACCGGCATCTCCCTTGGAGGGCTTCGCATCTCCCTTACCGTGACCGGTATCTCCCTTGGAATGGCTGGTATCTCCCTTGGAATGACTGACCTCTCCCTTGGAATGATCGGCAGGGCTCAGCTTGGATTTGATTTTATCGAGTAAGCCGCCACCTTTCTTCTCCTCTGAAGGTCCACTAGGGGAGTCCGCTCGTTTGGACATCGGAGACTTGCCTCCCATCGCACTTGCACCTTCTCCACCTTTAGAAAGACCGCCGCCGCTGGCTAGCTTTGCTTTGAGTTTCTCGAGGAAGGCGGCTTTCTTGTCTTCTGATCCTCCACCCGGGGCATCTGCTCGTTTGGTGAGCTCTGCCGGCGGAGTGCCGGCGGGACGACCGCTAGCACTTGACTTCGCTTTGAGCTTCTCCATAAAGCTGGCCTTCTTGTCTTCTGCCGATTTGGTTGCGGATTCTGCTCGCCTGTTCATTGCATTAGGTTTAGAAGTTTTCCCTGGACCGGCAGGAGGACCACCACCACCACCACCGCCACCTGCCTTAGATTTAGATTTAGAATTCTCAGGGGTGCTACTTCCAGCTCCAGGAGCGCCAGTAGAGTTGGGATTGAGTTTAAGTCTGTCCATCAAGGCTTTAACCTCTTCTGGGGAGTGGTTCTTGAGTGGTTCCGGGGTCTTGTTGTTTCCGCCTGGCATACCAGGAGTCGACTTGGGGTTTTTGGGATCAGTCTTGCCGGTTGACCCTTGCGAAGGAGGTGCAGATCTGCGGGGTAGAATGAACAAGAAGGGAAAATAAAATCAGAAAGGTTCTTGTAATTTTCAACTTCGATTGCCTCAAAATTAAATGTACTAACTCGTTTGCTTTGGGCACCGGTGTGGCTCTTGTAACGAGGCCAGCTTTGGTGTCAGCACTTGACTTCGCTTTGAGCTTCTCCATAAAGCTAGCCTTCTTGTCTTCTGCCGATTTAGTGGCGGCTTCTGCTCGTCTGGTCATTGCATTAGGTTTAGAAGTTTTCCCTGGACCGGCGGGAGGAGTGCCACTACCACCACCTGCCTTGGTTTTCGATTTGGAATTCTCAGGAGTGCTACTTCCAGCTCCAGGAGCGCCAGTAGAGTTTGGACTGAGTTTAAGTCTGTCCATCAAGGCTTTGACCTCTTCTGGGGAGTGGTTCTGAGTGGTGGTTCCTGGTTTCTGATTCTTTGGTGATTCCGAGGTCTTGTTGTTTCCCCCTGGCATACCAGGAGCCGACTTGGGGTTTTTGGGATCGGTCTTGCCGGTTGACCCTTCCGAAGGAGCTGCAGATCTGCGGGGTAAAATGAACAAGAAGGGAAAATAAAATCAGAGACGTTCTCACCACGATGCTCGAGTCGGGCTTTCTCAAAACAAAAGAAGACACTCACTTGGGATTCTTGGGACTTCCAACAGGTACAGTAGAAGCTGGCGGCTTGGGGTTTTTAGAATTGACGTTGGCATTCTTGCCTCCGGGAACGTCCGTAGGATCTAGAGGTACACTGGTGAAAGTTAAGAAGGAACATACACAGTCAGACATAACAGATTCATTGCTTCTGGGCCACCGAGATTTTCAAGTTCGACTATCTCAAAATTAAAGGTACTCACTCGTTTGCTTTGGGCGCCGGTGCGGCTCTTGTAACGAGGCCAGCTTGGGTATCCATACAGGTCGATGCGAAAACGACGATCGAAATAAATTGGACGAGTTTGAAAGAAACCATGGCGTCGATTTGTCTTTGGTGGAGTTGTTGTTGAGGTTGATTTTACTGATACTGGCTATTGACAAAAAATTGAAGCGGCGGAGAAGGATGGGTAGGTATTCGTGAGGATATTTAAAGCCCGGCTTTATAAACAATGGTGCAGAAACAATAAACACTTGATAGTTGGATTTGGTACTGGGTATATAAACAGTAGAAGGAGATGAATTGCTGGAGTGTGTGGAGTGTTGTCGAAAGTGGGTGGATAGCAGCTCCTTAAATAGAATTCATGGTCAGCCCCAAAACCCATGAGCAGGCTGAGCGAATTGCTTCCCTGGAGCCTTCACCTTGATGTTGTCCTTGCACAAGGCAAACATGAACCTTGAAGGCTAAGCCTAGATAATTGGTCATGTTGCGAGTACCAAGGCAGTGATTCTGATTTTTTTTTCCTTATCCCCAGTCGTTCGGTCGACGACTGCATATGCCTAGCTCTGGTCTGTCACGTTGGTCGTGGATTTGCTTCCGACAACTAACATGGCTAATGGAACATCTTGCCTTGGCACCTCTTTTTCCTTGTACCCTTAATTTGAATCCTGCTCGCTCTGCATCTTTATTCTCTCAAGTATGCATGCTCACTACGACAGCGCGGTCTTCATGTGGACAATGAAGCTTTGGTCAATATCTTTAAAGCAAAATCGGAAATCTCGAAGTAAAATGAATAGAAATAACAAAAGAATGTAGAGCAGAGGATGTGAATTTCTTCTCAGGTTGTGGGCTGTTGTCGATTGAATTGGTTGAACGCCGGGGCAATTTGGTTGATAAGGTTTCTTCGACCAGGGAAACTTTTGCCTTAACCTTTTTAGAGCCGGGCATCTGCTTTGAGTTCTACACGCTCTGCAACTGTGCTCTCGAAAAGGTTGTGCTGATTTCGAATGAACTGGTTAAAGGCCGGGGCGATTTGATTGATGAGGGGGTGGGAGCTGATAATATGACTCGCATGGGTTGCCCAAAATGAACTTCTGGTTGAAAAAATCATTGCGGGTATTGCTCAGAGAGTCCGTGGATCGCATCAATACTCAGATCATGCAGACTCTCCAAGCGGCCCATCAAGCATCAAATAAGACGACGCGAAGAGAGAGAAACATGCCTGTTGAAGTAGTGCATGGGAATCGGCACAACCTTTTCGAGAGAACAGTTGCAGAGCGTACAGAATTCAAAAGCAGATGTCCGGCTCTAAAACTAGAAAGACTGCAAGCTGGCGAAATTTTCCCTGATCGATCTTTTTGACTCGAAAGACATGCCAAAGTGGTGAGGTATGACTTCGGGCCGGGAGAGGGTGCATGTGAGTAACAGCTCAACTGATTTGTCTTCCTAAACAGCCCGCCTGCTTGAGCTGATTGAGGAAGAGCGTCCAGCTCACTTGAATCTGGCCGTAGCATTGCGAACCGGCGTTGCGCTCCTCGAACAAGCAGGCATAGAAAGAGGGTTTTTCATGGAGGACATATGTATGGACAAGTTCAAGATGCAAGGACAGATGGGGCGTGACCCGAGGCCAGTGAGAGGTGATTTATGTATCAATGACTTCTCATGAGCCTGCCTGCTAAAACCGAGCCAGAGTTGAGCTCGCTGCACCACCTTCGTCACGGCATCCCATGAGATGGGTTTGTGCAGGTTGGCGCAGACCCATCGGGGCTCTGTAGTGATTCTGGTGGGGTATGCAGGAACCAGCGGTGAACCCACTCGCACAGAATCAGATGGGTGGGATAGGGCCAGGGCCATGCAAGTACCTCCGGTATCAGTCTTAATCTTATCATTAAAGATCAACAAACGTAAAAAAAGGGGAGAAGCACAATCACATGGATATAACAGCCAAGATGTAAATGAGAAACAAAAGAATTCAAAACGAGATAGAGAGAGAGATGGTGAAGGAAAATGATTAATAGAAAGAAATAGATAGAGAGAGAGAGAAGGAATTGAAATGAAATGAAATGAAATGATGAAGATCGACCGATCGACCAACTCGATCACTTGTTTTTGTCATTGGGAACCTGTATAAAATGCAGAACGAATCAATGAAAAAAAAAGTCAGTTTCATCGAACTTCATTTGATTATTCATTAACAAACCAAACCAAACAAAAACCTAGGAAGATTCAAGTTTCACAAGAAAAGTGTTTAAAAAAAAAAAAACTTACCGAAAGTTATAGAAAAGTTACAACAAGAAAACAATTACGGTTTACGGTTTAAGAGACAAGGAGTCCAGACAATGGGAATGAAGTGGGAAATAGAGAAGATCTCAAATCATGAACAGATCGCCGACGCAATGGCCGCACCAGACCATATCATCGCCGAGTTTAGAGCGGGGGATAATTTTATGCGAGGTTTTGAGTGAGTGGGCATCGGAAGGATCGGGAGGATGATGGGAGAGGGCGTTCGAGGAAAGGTTCAAGAGACCCAGCTCGTTCTCCATCCGAGTCTTGAGCAGATTCAGGCTCTCAGTTCGGGTCTGTTTGGTCTGTTCAGACAAGTTACTCTCGTCGATCATCTTCGAGAAGTTGGTCTTCTTGCTTGTCGACTGCGGGCGAGTCTTTGATGAAGAACCGACCATGGTTTGCGGGACGGCAGATGAAGATGTTGATGAAGATGATGATGGGATCGCCGGGTTTGGAGAGTCGGTCATGAGGGGAGTGTTTTTCCTCTGTCTGAGCGCTTCCTCGGCCCCTCTGAGCTCGTCCTGAAGGTTCTCAACCCGGGTCAACATCTCAAGCGAGCGGGATTCTTCCTCGAAGACCCGGCTCTCCAAGGCCCGGATCTGACTCCGGGCGGTCGAGAGATCGATCTGGTGTTGCTGGATGATAGAGTCCACATAAGTCTGATCGACCGCCGTCTTTCTTTCCTCCAGCGTGGCCGATAACTCCGCCCTCAAGCCCTCCGATTCCCGCCGGAGCTCGCTAACCGTCGCCGACTGGCTTTCCGATAGCCCCCGTAGCTCGGCCTCAGCCTTGTCCAGCTTCCTCTGCAATTCTGCCGTCTTGGATTCCACAAGCAGCGCCTGCTCGTTCTCGGCCTCGGTTCGGATTTGCGTTTGGGCCATCTTGGCCGCTTCCAGTTCTTCTTCAAGCTCAGCCGTCCTCCGTGTCGAACGGTCAAGATTACTCTGATGCTCAACCTTGCAAGTGTCGAACTCTGCTCGCAGGTCTTCGAGCTGCTTGGTCGTCCTAGCTAATTCCTGATGGGCAGCTTCCTGAGCTACCAGTGCTTGCGAGCTGGCTTCCTTCTGTTGATGCCCATTTTCAGTAAGCTGGGCGGAGAGATCTGAGACTTGTGCGGTCAGATCTTCGAGACGTCCTTCGGATTTCTGGGTGCGCTCTTCAAACTGCTTTTCTACCTTCTTCTTCTCTTCTTGAAGACTTTCGAGTGCCTGATTCAGTTCTGAAATCTTCTTGATCCCCTCCTCCCTTTCAACCAAACTTTCCTCCCTGCTCTTGTTCAGTTCAGTCTCAGTGCGTTTCAAGGCCTTCAGTTCGTTGTTCAGCCGGTGGATTTCATCTTCCTTGACGTGATCGTTTTGTTCGAAGGCAGCCTTGGTCTGACTCAGGTCTTGCTTCGTCCTCTCAGCCTCTTCCTTCAATTGATGAATCTTCTGCTTCAACTCCAGGACCTCCGACCTCGACTTCTCCAAGATCCGATTCTCACCCTCCTTGCCCGCCTCCATCTCTTTGATCAACACGTTCTTCTCTTGCTCGAGCGCACCGATTTCCTCCTGCAATTCTGCATTTTGCTGCTCCGACTGACTGATCCGTTCTTCCTGCGAATCGATCTGTTTTTTATGCGAAGAGAGTTCGGCTTGTAGCTTGCTCAGAGTGGTCGTCATTTTTTCGCGATAATCATTCAACTCGAGTTCCACGGCCTCTTTGGAATTCACAACCTCTTCATTCTCGGCCTTGGCTGCACACAATTGATTCTCCAAATCCTCCAAAGAATTCTTGGCAGTCACCAGATCGTGCAAGGTTGAGGCTAAATTCTGCCTTTGCTCGCTGAGATCACTCCGGCTTTCTTCGAGTTCCCTTTCAACCTGTTGACGTTCTTTGAGACTCGATGCAAGATTTTGCTCAGCTGTTTCTAAACGCAAATGCAACTCCGCGACACTTTCTTCCAACTTCTTCAACGAATCTTTTTGCTCCAGGTTTTTTGATTCGTAGTCCGAGACCAGGTTTTCGAGTTTCTTCCGCTCTACATCCGACTCAGTCCTCAGCTCCTCTTGGGCGATCTTCGCAGATTCCAACGATGCTCGTAGGGTTTCGGCAGAGGATTCACTCCGCGAGAGTTCAGACTCCAAATCCGAAACTTGTTGAGCAAGTCCATCACGGAAATCTTCAATCTCTTTCAGCCTCTTTTGGGAATCGGCATATTGACTTTGTAACTCTTGGATCTCCAACAACCGTCGCGATCCCTCGTTCTCGACGTTTGCTAACTGTTGAGCGTGCTCTTTGATCAACGCGTCATGACCGGTACGAGCCTCTTCCAGTCTTCCCATCAAACTTTCAACTTTCGACTTGGACTCGCTGAGGAGGGTTTCAAGCTCAATCACCCGACTCCGCTCGTGCCCCATAGATTGCGAAAGTTGATCGCATTCTGACGTCTTTGACTGCAGCCTTCCCTCAGTCTCGGATATTCGGGCCTGACTCTCTACGACTTGTTCCTTCAGTGAAGTGGATTCAGTGGTCACGAGAGAAAGCCGATCGGATATCTCTTGGTTTTGCGACACCAGAGATTTGAGCTGGGTAGCCTGGGTACCATAGCGTTCTTGATGTACTTCAACTTGCTGAGCTGCGTCTTTGAGCTTTCCTTCCAATGATTTGATGTGTTGTTGCATCTGATCAAGTTCAGCTTGCGACTGCTGGACCCGCTGCTCTAGCTCGTTCTTCTGGTTCTTCTCGAGTGACAATGCTGATGAGAGTGATTCAAGTTGAGCTTTGAGATCTTGTTCTAGAACTGCTGAAGCTTCGAGGAATTTGATTTTTTCGGCCAATTCAGAATCAGTTTGGGTTTGCTTATCGGCAAGCAAGCCAAGCTGCTCCTTAGACTGTTCCAGCAAGACTTGTGACTCTTGAAGCTGTTGAGATAGACGTGCCGACTCTGATTGCTGCTGCTCAAGTTGTTCGGTTAGTGAGGAAAGCTGATGCGTCAACAAAGATTGTTCCTCTTTGAGAGCAAGACCGACTTGATCGGATTCTCGCCTGGATTCCGCGAGTTGCTCCTCCAAAAGCTTTTTGTCTCCTTCCAGCCGTTCTTTTTCATGTTCATGAGATTGCCGTTGACTAGATATCTCTTCCCTCATGGTCACCAACTCATTTTCACGCTCGCGGACAATCGTACGAATCTCCTCGCAGCGTTCACTAGATTGAACCTTCTGATTAGTCAGCTCGACAATCTTCGTCTTCAGTTCCTCGAGATTCTGTAGCAGATTTTGGTTTTCTTCTTGAAGGGCAGACTTTCGTTGAGTAGATTGTTCAAGTTTTTCTTCGAGTTGAGTGACATTTGAGGAGAGTGATTCATGTGAAGTTTGGAATTCGGACAGTCGAGTTTCCAGAGAGTCGGCGTGTGATTTGAGAGCATCAAACTTTTCTGACGACGTCTTGAGTTGACTTTGGGCGCTAGACATTTCAGCTGTCAACTGTTGATGGTTGGTTTGAAGAGCATCAAAACTTGCGGTGATTTCGCGAGATTTCTCGGTAGACTCCTTCAAGCGTTCCTCAGCGATGGTCCGATCTTTTTGGAGTTGCTCGATCGTTTGATCTTGCTCTTGCTGCCGGAGCTCTTGAGATTTCAGCTGGTTTTTGACTCGAGATAGTTCGCTCTCGACGGCATCCGAGTGATGTTGCTTCATTCTCAGTTTACTTTCAAACTCCTGAATGATTTCATCCTTGCTGCTCTCGTTCGACTGACTCAATTCTTCGATCTGAGTTCTGGCTTGCTCTAATTCTGTCCGCAGCCTGCTGAGGGAAGTTGTTGACTCTTCCAAGTCGGTTTGAGCTCGAGTTAAAGCAGCCCGATTCTCTTCCAGATCTTGGTTCAGTTTCAGACCTTGCTCCGCCGATTGTTGTTCGGCATTGAGGAGTGCATTGCGCAGATTGGAGATCTCCTGTCGATAGTCTTCGGCTTGATTGGCTAGATTACTCTTCTCACTGACGAGTAGGGCGATCGTCTGCTGTTGTGATTCGGACAGCTGAGAAGTCGAAGGAAGGGAATCGGGAGTGATTTGATGGTTCCCATTGGTATCTTCCGAGATAGAAGGCCCAGTCTGACTGTCCAGCCTACACAGATGAGAAAACATGACCTGAGTGAGTGACCCAAAGACAGACTATCTGATCCAAAGACTTACGGCTGAGGAATCGGCGGGATCGTCTCAATCTTTTGTTCTCCGTTTGGTAGGGTTGAATGAAGCTGGTTATTGGGGACGGGCTCAATGCTTGGGGAGGCTACTTCCGAGGTTACGTTAGACTCAGTCGTCGCAGTTTGACTTGGTTCGCCGGCTTTCTTCTTGGCTTGGAACTTCTTCAGCTGTTACACATAGGAAAGACCCGACATGATGAACTGATGAGCATCAATCCTTGTTCAGTTTTTCGAGAGAATTACTAACTCGATCCTTAGCTCGGGCGGCCTTCTCAGCGCGATCGTTAGCCACTCCATCGGCCATGGTGGGATCGAATGTCTCTTCCGGGTCCTGTGGTGTGTCGAGGGTATGTAATAAATAGTTTTACTCGGGATGTGTGTGTGTGTGTGTTGGTGGTTGGTTGCTTCACAGCACTGGGCAGACTGTGGTGGCTCGGCGTCACTAGGCTGACCCGGACCAAGTATCCGGATGATCCGACACCCCCAGTGGATCGATCGACCCTGATCGCCCATTCCCACATTCTTCGCCATCTGAGACTGAACCAACACTCTTCAGTCTTTCACCTCCCTTCATCTGGACTTGGTATCCATCTGCGCATGTGTATGACAGACTCGCATCCTTCCCAAGCAAGCTATTCCACCAGTTGAATCAATCAAAAGAGTTGCGGACTTGAGGTGCTTGGTTAGCTCCCAGAGAAACTCCGATTCCCAAACCAGTTTTTTAAGAATTGGATCAAGTGAGTGGCAGTCTTAGAACCCAATCATTAATCATCTCTCGCGAGACCTACTAAAAAAGATAGTCATATAAAATATGCTATTAAAGAGAAAATAACCATATTAAAATCTTGGTGTTGTTGATGCCAAAGTGATGAGTAATGTACATGAAGAAGTACTGAAAACAATAAGCTGATGATGAACATAGTAGATGTAAGGGAACATCTTCATCCCTCAAGTAAACCATACTCATGAGTACAAAAACGTTGGGGGTTTTTTGCATGTAAAAAGAAACCGCGAAGGGGGGAAAGAGTGGAGTGATGATAAAAACGTGACTGAAAGTGTGGAAGGGGGGGGG